TATGGTATTTTTCAGTTTACAAGTTACTTACAAGCACGTTATCTCAATTTGAGGCTCACAACATTCCTATGAAGCAACTATGGATCAGAAGTGATTGTTCATTTTTATAGGAGAAAAGTGAAGCCCAGAGCTGTAGTGATCAATCCAAGGTCAACAAGTACAAGCACCAGGGTCAGATCTTGACCCAGATCTTGAGACTAGTCTTTCCATTATATACTTTCCATTATCCATAATGATTTGCATCCTGGTTTTAGCTCCAATTCATGTGTATTGATTTCATTGAAAAATGCATTAAATCACAGTTATGATCCTGATTTGGGTTCATATACAAGATCAAAAGAGAGTTCTCAAATCAAATTGTTTTCATGACATTTATCATCATTGTAATCATCCTAGAAAACTTAATTTTTCCTTAAATGACTCCAAGGGGATGAAAATATAACTCTAGATTCTAAATATAAACTCAAAAGTTAAAACAATCTCCCTAAAATATGAGATTTATATCCAGACTGTATGATACTGGCATAAGGATAGACATGTAGATCAATGGTATAGAATTGAAAGTCCAGAAATAAACCCATACATTTATGGTCAATTGATACTCAACAAGGATAATAAGACAAATCAATGGGTAAAGAATAGACTTTTCAACAAATAATTCTAGAAAAACTGGATATCCACATGCAAAAGAATAAAGTTGAAACTCCCTGTCTCACACTTATGCAAAAATTAACTCAAAATGGATCAAAAAATTAAATGTAAGAGCCAAAACTATAAAACTCTTAGAAGAAAACATGGATGTAAATCTTCATGACTGTAGACTAGGAGGTGGCTTCATAGATATGACACCTAAATCAGCCAAAGAAAAAATATACAGGTTGGACTTCATACATAAAAATCTTTGTGCTTTTAAGGACACTACCAAAAAAGTAAAAAGACAGCCTACACAGTGGCAGAACATTTTTGGAAGTCACATATCCTATAAGGGTCTAGTATTAAAAAAAACAACTCTTACAAAACAACACTGAAAAGACAAATAACCCAATATAAAAATGGGCAAAGGAGTTGTATAAGGCATTCTTCAAATGGTCAATAATAAGCACATGAGAAGGTGTTCAACATCTTTAGTCAACAGGGAAATGTAAGTCAAACCCACAGTAAGCTGTCCCTTCACACCCACTGCAATAGGGCTATAGTAAAAGAGAAAAACTAACAAGTATAGTCTAGGATGTATATAAATTGGAATGCTCCTACATTGCTGGTAGGAATATAAATTGATGCAGGCACTTAGGGAAACAGTCTGGCTGTTCCTCAAAAAGTTAAAGTTAGAGTTACCATGTGACCCAGTAATTTCACTCCTAGGTACATACCTAAGAGAATTGAAAAAATATGTTCGCACAGAATTTATACACAAATGTTCACAGCAACAGTATTCAGAATAGCCCAAAAGTGGAAACAACACAAATATCCATCAGCTGACAAATGGAAGTAATATGTAATATATCCATACACTGGAATATTATTTGGCCATAAAAAGAATGAAGTACTGGGGCACCTGGCTGGCTCAGTTCGTAGAGCACGTGACTCTTGATCTCAGGGTCATGAGTTAGAGCCCCACACTGGAGGTAGTTTACTTAAAACATAAAAAATCTAAAAAAAAAAAAAAAGGAATGAAGTACTGACACATACTACAACATGGATGAACCTTGAAAACATTATGCCAAGTGAAAGGAACAGAAACAAAAGGCCCCATATTGTATGATTCCATTTATGTGAAATGTCCAGAATAGGCAAATCTGCAGAGACAGAAAGTATATGAGTGATTGCCAAGGGCTGGGGGAAGGAAGAGTGAGGAATGACTGCTAATGAGTATAAGGTTTCTATTTGGGGCAATGAAAATGTTTTGGAATTAGATAATAGTGATGTTGCACGATCTTGTGAATATACTAAAAACCACTGAATTACATACTCTAAATGTATGAATTTCAGGGCCACCTGGCTGGCTCAGTAGGTAGAGCAGACTATTGATCTTGGGGTTGTAAGTTCAAACCCTGTTTTGGGTGTGGAGATTACTTAAAAATAAAATCTTTACCCAAGAAAAGTGTGAATTTCATGGTATGTGAATTATATCTTAATAAATTTTTAAATGAAGTTCTTTAAATTATCTTACCAATATTGTTATAATGTAAAGCCCTAATCAGGTCATTGTAGAAGCCAGTAAATATAAAACCAATTGGGAAGATATTTCAAGGAAAAGTTTATAGAGTTGAAGTGGCAAAATAATAGCACAACTCTGAGTTGATTAGGAAAGTAGAAATAAAAAATGAAGATGAAGAAAATCCATGATTAATGAAAAAGTATTCTAGATCCACAAGTTTAGGTGAGAACAGAGGAAAAAGAAACTAATTCCTTATTTAGTAATTTTTCCCTTATTTGATTACAACCCTGAGTCACACCACCTCAGAGACACAGGAAGGTTATGAGTGGCATTATTATGATTCTATTTTATTTGCAGCTCAAGGAGATAGAACAAGCTGCCCAGCTTCACACAGTAACTTAATGATGAAACCAAGAAATTTCACTGGAGACTTTCTCCTAATGTTTTACCTGCTTGCTAATTTCATGTTGAAAATATCATCTATGTCAACTTTAAAGTGACATAATAAAGCTATATTTGCATCCCTCAGTCTAAACTCATCAAGAATTACTGTTAAGTATGGAAGCCAATGTTTATTCCGGCTTGCATTCTTTTTTTCCCCAAGTTTTTATTTAAATTCCAGTTAAGATACAGTGTTAAATTAGTTTTGGGTATAGAATTTAGTGATTCAACACTTACACACAACACCCGGTGCTCATCACAACAAGTGCCACACTCTTTAATCCCCATCACCTATTTAACCCATCATCTCCCCCTCCCTATACTTAAGTCTGTTTTTTGGTTTGCCTCTTTTGTCTCCCTCCTATGTTCATTTATTTTGTTTCTTAAATTCCACATGAGTGAAATCATATGGTAGTTGTGTTTCTCTGACTTATTTCTCTTAGCATAATACTCTCTAGCTCCATTCATGTCACTGTAGATGATAAGATTTCATTCTTTTTTATGGCTGAGTAATATTCCATTACACACACACACACACACACACTACATCTTTTTTTTTTAAGATTTATTTATTTATTTGAGAGAGAGAGAGCGTGTGCATGCATGAACAGGGGTAGGGGCAGAGGGAGAGGGAGAGAGAATCTCAAGCAGACTCCCCACTGAGCCCGGAACCCAACACAGGGCTCATACCATGATCCTGAGATCATGATCTGAGCTGAAATTGAGAGTCGAATGCTTAACCGACTGAGCCACCCAGGCACCCCACATTACATCTTCTTTATCCATTTATCAGCTGATGGACATTTGGGATCTTTCCATAATTTGGCTATTGTAGATAATGCTGCTATAAACATTGGGGTGCAAGTGTCCCTTCAAATTAGTATTTTTGTATTCTTTGGGTAAATACCTAGTAATGCAATTTATTCTACCTTGCATTCTTATATGAAACTCTCTTAAAAAACTCTGGTTAGATGAGAATATCCCACTTCCTGGCTATCTGGGAATTAAAATTTAAAATGAAATTAAAATGTTTCCTTAACTGAAATTAAAGAATAAATTCTACCTAAATATCTCAGCCACAATAAATGAATGAATGAATGAATGAATGAATGAATGAATGAAGCTATTTACCACACAATTGTGAAGGACCAAGTTCCTTCAATACAGCCATTCTCTCACATTAAACACAAGACGCAGACAGTGATATCATCTCATTGGAGATTTATGGGAAGAACATTTTGCAAGAACACTTTAGGCAAATACCAGGACTTGTTACTGTAAAAACAAGGGTCAGCATCTTCATTAGCTCTTCTCCATTCTGGGACCAGGAATCACAAGGACTATTTGTATAATGCTTTCATATCTTCATTTTACTTTATCCTCTGATTACAACAACCCTATGAGAGTAGAGGTTGGGAATTATTACATTATTCTCCAGTTTACATTTTAGGAAACAGAGATTCAGAATAGGGATTTGCTCAAAGTCACCAGGATGGTCAGTGGCAGGGGTGGGACTCAAGGCTAGATCTTCTATTTCCAGATCCCATCTTCTTTTCACCGCATTCCCTACTTCAGGTAAGCTACGTCAGAGGCAGGCTTAGGCATTCTACAAGACGGAGTAAGAGGAAAGCAAGAAAAGTAGTGAGGAAATAGGGATGATGACAAGGGGAGGAAGTGTCTTATTAGGAAGTGAGCTAACCACTTTCAATTGCCCCAAATGCCCCTTAAGTGGCAACAATGCTAAAGTTACTCTGCTCTGTATCTTTTGCCCCTAGGTCTACAGCTACTGTTATTTTACTAGTTAAGAATCATGTTGGAGACTTAAATGCCTAAAAGAAATCTTAAGATTTTTCTCCTCTGAGGTTCTGACAGCGGAACTTGGCCCCTCCCACAAAGGCCCGTGGCCCCTAGGTCTCGATCCCATTAAATGCCTTGGGGGTCGAAGAAACCTCCAAGTGTAGGGGGAACCAAGGGAAGAGGGTTTGGGTCGGGGGAGAGACTAAGGTTGGGCTAAGGAGAGGGGGAGCCTGCGGTGGAGCTGTGGTTGGGGGATGTGGGTTTTGTGGCTGAACTCAAAGGTGGGGTAAGAAACCAGTAAAGGAGCTGACTGTCAGGGCGGAGTTCACAGGTCTAGGAAGGGATAGGGGAGCTGAGGGGCTGACCCGGCTGAAGAAAGACCAAAGAGGAAGCAAGGCTGGGTGGTCTTCGCGGCGCGAGGATGGAGGCGAGGCCCCCCCCTCACACGTCTGTGATTGGATGCTCCCTTAAGTCCCGCCTCCCCAGACCCCCTCTCCCCTCAAGCTCCGCCCACGCCGCCGGGCGCGCGCCTGGGGAGCCGGGAGGGGGACCAGGCTGGAGAAGGGGGAGGGGGAGAGGAGAGGCTCGTGCACGCGCCCCACTCGCTGCGGGTGCGCGAGCAGCGCGCTCCCGCCGTCCGCGTCGCCATCTTTTCCCCCTCCGTCTGTCTGTCTGCCGTTGGCTTTGTCCGTCTGCAGCGCCGCCCCTCGGCTCCCCGCCACCGGCTTGGCTCGAAGCCGCCCTCCGCCTGCCGGGCCCAGTCCCGGAGAGCCCCGGCCCGGCCGGCCCGAGCTGCGGCCCGGGGCCCATTGTCCGGCGGTCCGTCTGTCCGGAGGCGGGGCCCAGGGACGCGGAGCGCCGCGGAGCGCCGAGGCGCCGGGTAAAAAGACCCCCGTCTCCTTCCCTCCGGGGCTAGGCTGAGGATGCCGGGGCTCCTCGCCCTCCCCCTTGTTCGCCGGCTGTCGGTCCTTTTGTCTGTCTGTGTCTGGGGAGGGGGCTCCGGCTCGCTCTGGCCGGGGGGGCGGGGGCAGCCCAGGCGCCGACGTTCCCCCAGCACCGGGTTCCCGAGACGAGGCGGGACCCAGCTGGCTCCGCACCGGCCGTTCCTCTTTCAGTCCCTCTGGCGGTCTCGGGCGCGGGAGGGGCGTCCGCGCCACCGCCCTCCCGCCGTGGGCCCAGGTCGGGCAGGGCCGGGCAGAGCCGGGGCGGCCCCGGCGTCTGACAGGCTGGGGTGGAGCTGGAGGAGGGGGAGGATGGGCGTGGGAGTGCAGACCCGGGTGTCAGTCCCGCGTCGCGGTCTCGCAGAACGGCTTCTAAATTTAGATTTCTGAGAAGACTGTATCGTCTGAGGGTTTCTCTGAGCCGCCTCGGAAGACCTCTGGCTTTTGTTGATAATTCCTAGGAATCTACCTGTGCTCATGCTTGAAGAAGCCAAAGGGACCATCTCGGCTGATTGTACACATGCTCCAGACCAAAGAAAGTGGGGACAGGGTCAGTGAGACAGCTACGTGACCAGCTTTCTTGTCCTCTCCTTTTTGGCAGATACAAATCACTGGGATTCAGGCGAGTTTACTTTGCTCCGTGGGAACTGCACCAGAGCTGGAGGTGGGAGTGCACCCTCTTTTTTTAAAGATTGGATTTCACCTGTTTTTTTTTTTTTTTTTTTCATGCTCAAGTCTGTGGTGTGTTCTGGAAGCTGCAACCTAACACCTGTGGGAGAGCAGGGACAATGTTAAGGGGAGATGTTGGTCCCCCTCCAAAGGACTCTCAACCTCGTTCTAAAGACAAAGCTTTCTTCCTTTTTACATAGAACATCCCTTGTAAACCTGAATTTCCGTTTACCTTTCTTCCTGTCCCGTTTTTTCTTCCAGATGGTGATGTTCAGGCGGCTTTGCATTTACATTTTTGTGTTGGTTTTAGATTCGGGCTTGGGAACTGAGGCCGTGTTAAAACTAAAACCGAATGAGTGATCTTTAGGGCAATGTGTCTATGAATTTTAGCTTTTACTGCCTATAAAACTGTTGTCTAACCTCAGATCTTGCTGTGTAGTCAAGAATGCACTTACTTTGCCGTTTATGTATGTATCTATTTTCTTACTTATTTTTTAGAGTCCACAACTCCATAGGCTTTCTTTTTTTGAGGGAGGAAAGGCTGTTTGCTTGTTTTTTTCCCTTAATCCCTCAGGTGTGAAGTCCCATTGGGTACCATCTGGTCAGTTCCCCATTCGGCCACTAGGAGGATTGTGAGATGCAGTGGACACTGCCTATTTAAATATGCAGATGCTCATCTGTGTTTCTGACTCGTAGCTTTAGTATTGAACTGTTGTCTCACCAAGATGATCTGAATTGAGCCTATATCAAGTTATTTGATCTTCATTCAGAAGGATCTTCATTATTTTTATCTCAGTTTCAGTTTCTGATCTTGATGAGAAGATTTAAAGATTAGTTAATATTTCATTTTTCCCCTTGTATAATAGAGGTGTAGCTCTGCAAATTTTAGAAAAAAATGATAGACAACCTGCATTTCATTCAACTTTCTACTTTGTGATTCCACAGTTATTGGAAAAGACCCAAAATGAATATTCCTTCACTGCTTCCACTAATAAAGTAACTACTTGATTAGAAAGAAATGACCTATGCAAACAAAACTTAGAGAATACATACCATTAGCACTCAGCATACTGCCCTCTAACTAGTTAACATTGATTTTTACTGTATACATTTGGAGTTGGGCTTTTTTGTTGTTATTTTGTTGTTGTTTTTGTTATTTTGTTGTTGTTTTTGTTATTTTTTAATTAAAGGTCTGAAAAAGAACTGTGTTTGATATGCAGATATGATAGAAGACTGCCTGAAAGCTGCTTCCTTTGCCACTTCCTGTGGAGGCCTGTCTTTGCCATTTGCGGTTTCTTTCTTCTTTTGGTAAGGGGAGGCAGGATCTGATTACAGGTCTGAGGTCCTTTCTAGCTACATCGAGGAGTTAGTTGGCATAACAGGAGATGAGTCTTCACTAACTGGAGTGCAAAGTATAGTTAGCAGTAGCCTCTCATAAGGCCTCTTAAGTCATTAAACTACTTGCTTATTCAGTGTAAGTACAATTTGAAAAGGCAGGAACTGAAAGAAAACTTAGAGGGTGACTAGGTCCATATTCTTGTCTTTGGTAGGAAAGAGAATCTTTTTAATTTGTTTATTCACTGTGCCTTTCATAGAAAATTTCACAGTTTTTACTACTAATCCATTTCAGACTCTCTAACAACACTTACTGCTGGGAAAGTCTTATAAACTAACCAGGAACCTCCAAGCTTAAGTATCTGTTCCCTCAAATTTCAGGGAAGCAGATGCAGGTCTCTGTAGCACTTCTCATTTGGGGAGCTTTTCTCTTTGTTCTTCCCACTGATCTCTTTGCTACATAGAGGCTGGATTGAAAGGAGGCACTAAAGTTATTAACTTTGACCAGCACTCCAGAGCATGTGAACAGGGCCAGACTGATGTTCCACACTGGGGTGTTGAATTAGTACTCAACAGTGTGGATGGCATCTGGCCCTTCTGGTGAGAGCTCATCTTCAACATTGGAAGCCTGATTGGATTTAGTGCCCTGTCATCCACAGTGCCCAGCACTGTGCCAACCCTACTAGATAGAGGCTCTATTTTCCATGTGGATCTCATTTATAGATGCCTAAAAGTTTTGAGACGTTTCCTGTCTCACAGGAATGTGATGCTTTGTCACCTCCAGACAAGATAACTTTTCAGAAAAATCATCTGGAGGCTCCCATTTGTGCAGATTGCAAGGCTTGACTTCCAGTGGGCGTGTAACATGTGAGCTGCCACCCTCTTTTGCTTCCTTTTGCTTCCTTTTGCATTCACGGGGGTTATCTCTTTGAGCCTGCTGTGCTTCTAAAGCTGTTTGCCTAAGTTTTTTGCTTCCTTTTCTATCCTGTGACCTGGATCATGATCACTTAACAGTATTCTGGATTCCGCAGATAGATTTAGAATGGAATTCTCTAATGGAATCCTTTGAAGGAGTCCCCTCTTAAACTTCTTGAGATCTTGATGTTGTGCTAGAGATCTATTCATTTCTTTCTTTTTAAAAATTCAATTATTTATAACTGGTGAGTTTTATATGCTCAATAACTATTTTTTAAAGTTTTTAATTTTGTCTAATTTCTGGGAAAAATGACATGTGCTAACAATATCCTTTTACTGTAGGTCAGCATCCCGCAAGGAGGTAGTAATATATCCAGTTGTGAAACTGGGAAAGGCCAGAGCTCTCGGATCAGGGAAACATGTCCCGTCGGAAACAGACAAATCCGAATAAAGTTCACTGTGAGTACTGGGTTTTGTCTTCTGTAACCTGGGAACATTGAGGGTTGAAATGAAAGAGTAATCTCAATTTAAGTGAAAGGCTCACACTAGTTTGTGAAGGAAAAAAGGGTTAAAGAGATTGAACAGGACGGGTTTAAAGTACGTCTGGTTGCTGGAGGAGGTGTTAGAAACCTGTTTTAGTAGGTGAACTTGATTTCATCCTTAGTATTCACATTAACAAACATTTATAGGATATCTGTACAAAGCCTGTGCTAGATGTCAGGGCTATAAAGCAATGTAAGGATATATAAGGCTGTCATGTGGCCACAGATACATAAAATAATATCTAAAAACACAAGATAGTATATGCTGAGTGCCATATAGGGGTGCTGCAGACTGTGTGTACTACAGAAGTTAAGAGGAGGGAGAGACTTCCATGGACTGAGGAAGCAGGGAATGCTTCATGGAAGAGGCCCTAGACTGTGAACTTGAACTGGGCCTTAGAAGGTAGGAAGTAGATTTTTTAAAAAGTAGGAAGAGGTAAAATCAGATGGGGAAATGATCTGAACAAAGATACAAGAAGGAATGCACAGGGGCTCCTGGGTGGCTCAGTTGAGTGTCTTACTCTTGATTTTTGGCTTAGGTTATGATCTCAGGGTCGTGAGAGGGAGCCCTGCTTTGGGCTTCATGCTCAGCACGGAGTATGCTTGGAATGCTCTCTCTCTCCCTCTGCCCCTCCCTCCACTTGGATATGCGTTTTCTGTCTCTCTCTGTCTTGCTCTAAAATAAATGAATAAATAAATAAATAATACATAAAATCTTTTTAAAAAAGAAGGAATGCACATGTTCAGGGGATAAGGAAACTTTGTATGAAGCAGCAGTTTTATTTATCCAGATGTCATAGGACACAAGATGAGGTTGGAGATGTTTATATCATAGAGGCCTGAAGGCCAGTCCAAGTTTATACTTTATACTGTGGACTATAAGGAGGTACTGAAGGTTTTCAAGCAGAGCAAGTGGAGTGACATTTAGAATGCAGTGTTTTAGGACTATGAAGCAGTGTGTGGGATGGATCACATGAGAGAAAGCCTAGTAACAGGAAAACCAGGTAGGCATTATTGCCTTGCATTGTTTCTCAGCAGTTCTATATGTATGTTTTATTTTATCAATTAGACAGTAAAATTCTAGAGGGTAGAGATTATGTCCCATTTATATTTCCTGCTATTCCTCTCTACTTCTAGCACTGCTTATAGAGGATGTTCAAAAGTGTCTCTTTAAATTAACATTAATATGTCTATGCAGATTTGATGGAATTAACCAGTTTCCTGTGATCTGGGCAGATAAGCGCCCTCACCCAAATGTTTTAAAAGAGAGCCAAATAGCACCCTATTATTATGGAGGACTGACTAAATAAGGTACAGCAACATCTGAAGAGAATTCAGTGGTATAATTATGACAGGTTTTTTTCTTGAGGAAAGAACTCTACATATGAGAGAATAGATTAGTCAAGGAGTTTAAGATAAGAGGATTAAAATTTATTAAAAACACACTGGATGCCAGGTACTATGTACCTTAACTTATTGGGTAATTTCAAGAGTGAGAGAGGAAACAGTAGGAACAGAGGAATTGGGAGGACTTTAACATTGTGTAGGTTAATGGGATTAGGGTGGCAAACCTCCACAATTAATTCTTCAATTTAAGTCTTGGAAAGGTTTTATAAGAGACCAAGTTTGATGCTTCTAGGAGTATATTCTGGAATAGGTGGATGTGAAAGTCTGTTTAATATAAAGGTGAATGAGTAGTTTAGGAAGGGCTTAGGAATTGCTGCTAGAAAGTGAAATGTCATGGGCCTGAATATGAGGATTGTCAAGAGAGAGATCTCTAGCCTAAGTAATCCAACCCAGAGGTTTAGGAGGATAGTCTCTTCTCTGGTTGAAAATTAGTATTAATAAAAGACACAGATGTGACCCCAAGAAGGCAGGGCAGGAAAGGTACTCTTAGTAGAGGTGAGGGGTTCACAAATAAGGCAGTCATAGGAGTTGGGCATTTACTTATAAAAGCCATGTGTCCAAAAAGTCTTGGTTAGATTTAAGGAGAGTAGCCGGCCTGGATGATGGCATGACTGTGATAAGGCCAGGGGAAGCCAGCGAAGGCTTGTATGGTCTGTGCCTGTGTCCACGGAGCTTCTATTTGTCCGCTGAATCTCTTCCCACGATAGCTGAACGCAGGATGAGCTGGTATTGGGTCAGAAAACAGATGGACAAACAGGCTACGGAGAGAGGATCACACATCCACAGTGGCAGAAATACAGTTTCCAGAGCGAGTGAACAGTGTATTGTGGTGGAGTGCGTGGGACTGTGCAGGCTCTGTGGTGGGGACCATTAAGAGGGCTGTGAACAAAAATGTTCCGCTGCCACTAAAAAGCAGACCCAGGGAGGGGCTGTGTTCAGTGATGCATTTGGGTAGGGAACCGTGGAGGCTTCTCAGGTAATAGACCAAGCCTGACTAAAGAAGAAAAGACACTGAGATTTGCTGGTGTCTCAGAAATTTCTGCTTATTGACTATTTGGGGACTGAAGCCGATCCTACCTTTTTCAAAAAGGCATCTTCTCATTGCCCATGACAATAATGGCAAGTAGGAATAGGTAATTTCAGTCTTCTGGCCACCTGAGCCTCCTATTCCCTTGCAGTGAAATGGAACCAATCAAATGTATTGAATTTAGTGCTGCTCATCTATTTAAAGTAAATGGAATGGACTCAAGGTCTGGGAGGCAAGAATTCTGTACACGCTTTGTTGAAATGTTAAAGCCAGTCAGCACTGAGGAGAGTAATGGCTGAGCTCCATTACATCTGCCTTCTGGGAAGAAGATTGTGTGGCATGAAGCTCCAAGCCCGCCTAAAAGAATGTATTAAGAATCCCACTGCTGTGGCCTGACAGCATTTGTCAGATCCACTTTAGAAGCCAATGGGCAGGCTGCACTGGCAGTTACTTGGCTTTCCTCAGGACTGTCTCTGTATCTAAATTACCGTCATGATCTTTCCTTTCCCCAGCAACATCCAGGCTTACTCGTGTAGTTTGCTCAGTTCATTAACAGATTTGACATAGAGCTTTCTGAATAAAAGCCCAGAATTTTTAGTCTCAGAGAAACTGTGGATGGGCTGTTAGACCTTCCTCATCTCATCTCCTTCTGAGTAGAAGTTTCTGTCAGCTGTTTCTAGGGAGGTTGAAAATAGTCCCTTGTAACTCTGATTTGGTGTGTGTATGCCAAGCAAACCACTAAGAAAAGGAAAACTTTTTTTTTTTTAAGAAAAACTTTTTCTTAAAGACACTTGTTTTCAGATTGCAAAGTACAAACAAGAATAAAAACTTTGAACTTCAATAAAAGCTTCTCGGCTTTTACAGAGAAGTAGGAAAAAAAGCCTTTAAAGTCCCTTTTCTTCCAAAAAGCACAACTTGTTTTGCCCTTGTTCGTTCTGTCAGCATCCTTGTGAGGTATATGGCTGTGTTCCCAGCATGTGGTAGCACCTTGGATTACAGAGACTGTTACCTGGAATGGAATCCTAAGCTCCTCATTCCCAAGATTAGCTCATTTTTTTCTGAATTTGACATCTGCTCTCTTAGAATTTTTTTCAGTTGCTTTGCTTTACTTAATTTCAGTCAGCCAGAAATTGCATTTATTTAATTGCATCAAGGACTCAATACAGAAAATTGTAAAATCTTTGCCTTTCTAGTAACTTTCATCCCAGGCTTCTCATCTGTTCTCCAAACTTGCTTGGATGGCCTTGTTCTTGTCTGGTCTGAAAAACCTTAGCCAAATCAAACAGTATCTTGATTTCATACCAAAAAAATAAAGAGGTGGCAGCTTGCTTTTTACTGTAGAGCTTAGATGACTTGTTCTCAACTATTAATAGACAAATAAATACCATGTTAAATTAAATAAGATGGTTGCCCTACATTAATATCTAGAGACCTGAAGTTTTTTTTTAACTTCCAATAGTCTCAAGATAGAAGGAAATAATAATTCTACATTATAAAAGCAGGCAATTATATAACACTTCTTAAGCACCAGTATCTCTATGGATCACATTTGACTTGAGTTACTATGACATACTTTTAGGTATGTAAAAGGTATCACTACTTTTAGTATCATAGTAAAAGGTATCACTGTCTTTTTGTGAAAGGATAATTCTGAACAGTGGGATTTAGAGCTTAGATAAATAGTGACTACTGGAAGATCATTCATGTATCTTCTATGAGATATGCCAAAATCACTTTTTTAATGGTTTTTATATATTTTGCTTTATATTGATGTTTAAGATAGGAATAGCCCTGAGAAATAAAGTTTCCCTTAGCCTTTTTCCCAAGTCGGGAATAGAACCAAATATAAGAGCACAGCTTTTCTTTCCAAACTGCCAAAAAGGAATAACAATTAATTTATTCCAACTATCCTGAGATTGCCAGCAAAAGTCCTAGATAGGGATGTCATATGGGATATACTCTTCTCTGTCCTGTGAAGGCCTAAATATTTAGACAATATCAATAATCAATAGACAAAAATGTTGAGCTCAAGTTGGTGGGTCTAAACTGAATTACTAGTTGATCTTGAAAGGTACTTATCCTTTTAGATGCCCTTCTCCTAATCCAATGGTATTTGCCTATTAAGGGAAAAAAAGTATTCTTCATAGGTTATAAACCTACTTTGTTTCTGAGTAGGTTTCTTTAGAGATGAGAAGTGTCACTGATGAGAATGATCTGCCCCTTGATAATTATCTGCTGGAATATAATGTGTCCCTTAGTGCCATTTCTGCCCATGATTTCCAGGTCCAAAAGCATGCATCTACCTAGAAGAATTCAATAACTAGTCCAGTTGGCCATGGTCTTGTGGTTACAGTGCAACCACCATGAAGAAAAGTATTTTCCTTCTGCAAAAAGGATGAGGAGGTGCTATAACAGAATTCACTGTTTGCTTTCCCTGGCAGTAATTTATATCCAGTTTGTGATTGTGATATTTTGAAAATGGACTTAAAGCAGCTTATTTTTCTTTTACTTGAGGGCTTGTGTGGCTAGCAGTTCACTTGAACCCTCACCACCTCTACTCCCACTCACAGTATTGATCAGAGTAACCCCAGTGTTAGTCAGTCCAGCCCCAGCATGGTGACTCACCACAGGGTATCAGAACCATCAAAATGTTGGGTCCCTTTGTCATTTACTGGCCCTGAGAACATTATTTTGGTATTTGAGATGTAGCATCAGTTTCTTATGGTACGAAGGTAACATTATTGCTAGGATCAGAGCCATTCTTCTCACACAGAGACAAGCGTTTGTTTTAGCAAAACCACTCTGGTGAACCATCTAGCCTGCTTACAGCTCTGCTTGAAAGCAGTTTAAAATATGGATATTAGAGCTGTGCAGACCTGGGTTCAAATACCTTGCTCTCCTATAAACCTTAGTTTTCTCTTAAGTAAAATTGGGGTAGGAATACCTACCACATAGAGTTTTGCAGAGAATTAAGATAGAAACTAAAAGCACTTAACATAGAGCCTGAAACTAGGACATGCCAAATAGTAATTATTAGTGTTTAACACTTAGCATATGGATACTCACTGAATTTTTGCTGAACAAATGCCTAAGTGAATTACACGAAGCCTACTTCATATCAGTTCTTTCATTGCCAAAGGACTGATAGCACAGGTCAACTGACCATTTCTCCTACCTCATTGTATCCTGTCTTGGAACCTGAGCCTGTTTACTTTCCTTTCTCTCCAGTAAGAAACCGCCTGGCCTATTGTCAGACATTTCACTAGGGCTTTTTATTATTCTCTCTTGGTGGCTGGAGAATGGGGACTGTAGTTTCCACTCTGACTGAGATAATGGAAACCTCGAGAAACCCAATTCTCTTTTCTCCTTATGCCTGGCCTCTTGGAAATAAAAGAGCACTTAAATGTTAACTCTTCAGTAACCACACAGATCCTAGGCAGAGTTCATAGAAAGTAAATGCATAATCAAGGACAGGTTCAGGGCTTTCGGATACTCCATATAAGAAAAGAAAAGAAAAAAGAAAACAGACTACATTGACCAAGGAAACTAGATTAAATATTATTTGTTGCAAATTAGTTGGGGTCTTTCAGGAAGCTTGTTCCTTAGCAAAAATGAGTTCATATATTATCTGTTCTTTTAATCTGTTATTCAACCAGTTGTTGATTTGCTTGTGGTTAATTCTGATAGACATAGAAGTAGAGTCAAGGAGGAACTTCCAGAGCATGTCTTGAAAGGAGGGTGGCTGAAAGATGAGATTAGAGAGATTGTTATTTGGAAGGATTATTTGAAGCACTTGTTTATAGTAAGAGATAGACACTAAGTCAGGGCCATAATGTTAGTACACTAAGAATCAGAGATTGTGCCCAGATTTGTTGCCCTGTCTTTATCATCCTATCACTTTGCCTCTTCTGCCTCTCTCGCCCATCCTGATGGAAGGTTGGTTATAAATGGAGTTGAGATTCTGAAGTTAAATTTGTAAAGTAGCAATTGATTACCTTTTGAAAGGAGTCAAGATTAGGAGGATTTAAGCAAGTGATGCTTTCTAGAGCATCTGGCTTACTGCCCAGGAAGAGTAGCCACGCCCAGAAATTCCAGGAGGCAGCAAGCTGACTTAGAGATGGATGACCCCACCATGGGGTACCTGCCTGTCTCCTACCTTTGAATGGTCTGACTTTCCAACCAGCTTCCCTGGGGATATATGCTGCCCAGCTGGTGGCCTGACTATTTTTCCTTGTGACCACCAGGGGATCAAGTATTTGCTGGGCTAGAAGAGCAAGCCCGCCAGGCGATGATGAAAACTGATTTTCCTGGAGACCTTGGCAGTCAGCGACAAGCTATCCAACAACTAAGAGATCAGGACTCCAGTAGCAGTGAGTTCTGCACCTTCTGGTAATGACTCAGGGCAATGGGAGAAGAATTATCAGAGTGTGTGTGCTCTGGGGATTGTGCATGGGGGTTGGGAGGAAGACATGAAGAAGGAGATTTGTGGATCCTGTGTTCCCAAAAGTGTTCTAAGGTGTATGAGCATATGCTTATCCAGAGAGAGGACAGGTTTGGCATTATATTTTTTTTTTAACTCATGGACTGCAGTACTTGGTGCAGTACCATACACAGATAGGTTTGTGATGACTGTGATAGACAGGGCCATAGGGATAATTAGTACTCAACCTGTCCCTGGGTTAGGTCAAATGAAAAGAAAAGAATCTCTGTCTCCTAGAATCTGTTTACTCATAATTAACAAAATATAGTAAGAGTGGCATTAATGAAATTTTTGCTTGAGGACCCAGTTTTAATGTTATATAAGAGGATTTCCTTACTGATGAGATTATGCCTCATCTAAAATGCTAAAGTCAAAGTCAGAGCACCTGGCTGGCTCAGTTGATAGAGCAGGCGACTCTTGATCTTGGAGTCATGAGTTTGAGCCCCACAGTGGGTGTAGAGATTACTTAAAAAAAAAAATTTTTTTTAATGGAATTAAAAAAAAAAAAGAATAAAATGCTAAAGTCAAGGTCTTCCCACACCAAGTCCTAAGTAAATCCCTGGAAAGAGATGGAAAAGACAGTGGCTGGTAACTAGCTGAGCCTCGTGGATCATCTGTTCCATGACCTGTCTGAACAAATACATTTTGAGATGTGTTATTTCCTAGGATGCTTTCCTTACTTTACTAATCACATCCATCTGCTATTGGTTGGTATTACTGTCAATTCAGAGTGACATTTTTTATTTTTCTCCACATTTGGGGTTGAAGAATAACAAGGAGGGAAAGAGTTCAGCAGCCTTCTAGGAACTACAGTTTCCACTCAAACTAATAATTTAGCAACAAAAAAACCAATAATAATTTAGCATCTAATTGCTCAGGTACAGAAAAGTTAAACCCAAAGATTTCTAGAAAACCTGCGGGAGCCACCAGTTTGAGTAACGGGATAGGAATGGCAACATCTATAAAGTCTAGTAGGTTTCCATTCTGGAAAAGCTGCATCGTCCCTCTAGATGGCATACGTATTTTTTAAAAATCGTTTTAGTAGAAGATGTGTTTGGGTTTTTGATCAGTCGTGTAATGTGTTTGATGCAATGTTGTCTTAGACTAAGTTTACCAATATTCCATAAGCTGGTGAGAAAATAGTGTGTGATTTAATCTGTTCCAATCCTTCATTATTGAGATGAATTCAGATGAAAGCTTTGGGTTAGGGAATAAGGCATACATGCCATAGATCCTTCCAGGGCCCAAATCCAGTCCACCAAACAAGTGGAATATCTAATAGAGACACATGTAACCACTAGTAGAAGATTTGGTTAGATTTTCTTATGAAGAAAAGGAATGTAATCAGTTTTGCCCAGATACTGGTGGATTTCAAAATTACACAAGGGATAGGGATAGGAGAGAGAGGAGAAGCGCCGGTAGCTAGGACAGCTGAGTCTCACAGGTGAGAGTCTACCTCGTATTTCTCTTGCTCACAGTCAGGCCCAGGAAACCAGGATCTCGGTGTGGTTGGCATGGGGCTGGGATCTCCCAGCTTCCCTAAGCTTGGCTTCCTCTTATGGTCTTCAAGGTACTAGCCCTTCTTTTTTTCCCTTTCAGAACAAATTCCCTTTTTTATCGTGGTTTTTAAAAAATCTTCCCCCCCCTATTTTATAAGTAATAGGGGAAAACAGCCCACAAAAACCTTGCAGATCCCCCAGCCACAAGCAGATCCCCCCTCCGCACCACATCCCATCCACTAAATGAAAACAAACTCAATTTTTCCTTTAGTCACAAGAAATTATATTCCATCCTAAAGAATGGCCTGTTCCCTTCACTCAATGCAGTCAGTTATCTGTCAGATAATCCAGAGAAGCAATGGATTTATTTAGTCGAAGAACCCTAAGTTACTAGCGAGGTAGGGACAGCCTGATTCGGCTGTGCAGCAAACAGCCTAAAGTTGGTTGCTGTGCTCTTCTTTCCATTGGACTGGACAAACCTTTCCCTATAAGGTGACATCATTTTTAACTAATTTAGTACTGCCTCCTTTCTTGGTAAGAGGAAGAGAAAACTTGTTGGTTTTTCTCTGAGTGTGCCTTAGGGTTTGTTGGGAGAGAAGAGATTAGTGGGACTCAGAATAGTACATGTGACACCATTGGAAAAACTGTGCAGGGGGGTTATGGAGAAAAGTAAGTAATAAGATCAGTGAGACGTGTGGGTAAGTCAGAGGTGCTGTGTTGTGGGAATGAGCATGGTGTGAGGTGTGTGGGAGGTGTGATTTCAAGTATGAGACGTTTGGGGATCGCGTGTAAGAAGAATCATTTTTATGATAATGTACAGGGCCCAATAACTATTGTCTAATGCAGCTTTGCCTCAGATTTTCTCTTTAGTGTAAATGGCATCATAAACAATAGCTATAGCTCTTCCACCAACATGATTCGTACCCAACTATACCAACTGTACATTGATGCAAACTCTTATGGAAGATCTGAAAATGTTTTCCATTATAGCTACAAACTCTAAGGTGGAAAGCAACTCAAGGTGTATTCATGCAAAAATCAGAACGAGTGACCAATGTGTATGTTCCAGGTGACAGTGAGGGTGATGAAGAGGAGACCACACAAGATGAAGTCTCTTCCCACACATCAGAGGAAGATGGAGGGGTGGTCAAAGTGGAAAAAGAGTTAGAAAATACGGAACAGCCTGTTGGTGGGAATGAAGTGGCAGAGCATGAGGCAAGTGACAACAGCTCCCGAGTCCGGGGGCCCCCCCTTCCTACTCGGCCCTGATGTGCCTGATCCACAGTAACTAACCGTCTTGCCTCTGGTGGTCTCCTGGGCCTTCATGTGAAGCCTTTCTTCCTTCACAGCTCCATTTACCCAAACCTCACACACAACTCTCATCACACCAGCTTTCCTGTCCATCCACATATCACTAACCCAGGTACAGCTTCCCCACTTCTTTCCAGGCAGAATATCCACTTTTGCAAGACTATCAGCCGACTTCCTGAAGTGTACTCTTGAATATGCTTGCAAATACAAGTCCTGAGGTGCCATCTTCTCTCTAAATTGTTTCCTGAGGATTGCTACAAGAAGCACAGCAGGAGGGAAGCTAATCCTCTCTCTGCAGAGTTTACTGTTGGGGGGGAAAAAAGAGATCGGCTCTCCTGGGGCGGCCCTATGTCCTCAGGGCAGGAAGCCTTGGAGAAAATGAAGATAGGAGCAAATGTGATTCCCTTTCCCTATTACTTTTCCCTTCAGTCCATAATGGGAACCTAAGAATAACATGGGATATCAGGTTGTGTTCCTTTGAACAGGATGCCCTGTTAAAAGAAGTAGGGGCAGGGCAAAGAGTGGTAAACAGTCTTAATGAATTGCCTACTTGTTGAATTGCAGGTCACAGGAAACTTGAATTCTGACCCCTTACTTGGACTCTGCCAGTGTCCCCTCTGCCAGCTAGACTGTGGGAGTCGGGAGCAGCTGATTGCTCATGTGTACCAGGTATGGGCTGGGGAGCCACGCGCTCCAGAACACGAGTGCCAGCAGCTTGTTTAGCCTTTGCCTCCAGCTCCCGGGGGAACCTTGGGTTGTTGCTTCCAGTAAGACTCCAGTCCCCAGAATGTTTTAAAGAATAAGTGGATATGTTGGATAAACCTGTTCTGGGCTCCCAGACAGACATACTATGAAAATTTAGTATTATTTTTTTCCAAATTACTTAATGTGTATTTATTTGTTTGTTTATTTATTTGAGAGGGGGGTGGGGCAGAGGGAGAGAGAGAATCCTAAGCAGCCTCCACACCCAGCATGGAGCCCAATAAAGGGTGAGGGGTTTGATCTCACAGCCCTGAGATCATGACCTGAGCCAAAATCAAGAGTCAGGCCCTTAACCCACTGAGCCACCCAGGTGCCTCAATGCATGTTTTAAATAGTGAAATAGAAACTAACATCTGTTAATAATGAGGCCTTGTTTTAAAGAAGAAAAAATTAGTTAACATAAATGTTTCTATAATACTAGGAAAAGTATGAATGAGGGGATCAGAAGAACACAAGCTTTTTGTGCTCTTTTTTTTCCCTGATCCAACTGCAGAGCACCTGTGCCTTGTGATCTGTATTAGAAAGGCATTAGCACACATGGCAGCCTGGGTTTTACCATCAAGACAGTTGGTTCATGAAAGGAGGCCTCTCTTTAGAAGATTGTTTTTAAAAGATTGAAGAAAAGGCAAGACAAAATGCTTTTGGATACCAGTCTTCCTAACCACCTTCTACACTTGGCCTTCATTGCTCCCTTAATATGCACCTGTACCTGCACAGTGTGAGGCAACAGATAGAAATTATCCCAAGCATGAATTCTTTGCAGATTTTGAAGAGGACTCTGACTCTGGAGCCCTGTTTTCACCAAGCCAGCCACATGTTCCAGAATATAGTCAAAACTCTAATGAAATCTGAACAATAATCTGAATGGCCTGGCCCTTTTGAAGGCCTGTTAACACAAGAGACTCTTACTTTTCCTGGTGCTAAGCAGGGAGAATATAATTGCAAATCCCTTGTTCTGAGACTAAGGAAAGGGGACATTTCCCAGAAAGCAGTTTCTAAGTGGGTGTAGATTATCTTAAAGGTAGCATGAGTTGACAGATGAAGGCTCTGTTTTACAGCACACTGCAGCAGTGGTGAGCGCCAAGAGCTACATGTGTCCTGTCTGTGGCCGGGCCCTGAGCTCCCCAGGGTCATTGGGTCGTCACCTCCTAATCCACTCAGAGGACCAGAGGTCTAACTGTGCTGTGTGTGGAGCCCGTTTTACCAGCCATGCCACGTTTAACAGGTTAGCTGGTCACCTAACCCTTTTGTTCTGGGAACAAATTACTGGGTGTGGGCTCTGCTTTCCCAAATCAAAAGAAAGGCTAGAGATAGGTAATGCAAAGGCAACTGACTCTTTGGAAATACAAGTAATGAAGCCAGTAAATATACCTGTTCCATTAGATATCCCCAAAGGGAAATGAATTCTCATTTCTTTCCCCTATTAGAATATTTTCATCTACAAAGAGATGGGGGGGTAGTCCAATAACATTCATGATAAAGCTTGGAGAAGTTACAGGGTGCTGAGAGGCCCCTGATGTGAGGACACAGTCTGTACTGTGTCCCAGGAAGACTGGAACTGTGTGAATTGTGTCCTAGTTAAATTTGTCTAGGGTACAATGCAGAGTCGGCCAGGGCAGGAGGGGTTAAGCCAGTAGACTGCCCTAAAGTCAGCCTCCACCTCAAGAAGGACTGCCATTTCTACAGTAGGACTGCCCTGCACAGCTCTTAGGAACACCGTCAACCAGCTGGAATGAAAACTGCACATCTGTGGGGCATATCTGGCAGTTGGCTCAGTCTCTAACTCCAGGAGGGCTTTAAAACTCGGTAGGTACCCTAGCCCAGAAAAGGTGTGGGGTGGGGAGGTAAAAGAGACCTCCCAAGTACTCAAATCTGACCCCTGGTAGTGAACTTGGAGCAACTGGCCTGGTAGGACCAGTGTAAGTCAGAGCTGGATACCTGAGCCTTGCTAGAAGGAGACACTAACCACCCAAATTTTTGTATTCCAGCGAGAAACTCCCTGAAGTACTTAATATGGAATCCCTACCCCCAGCCCATAGTGAGGGTCCCTCCAGTGCTGAGGGGAAGGACATTGCCTTTAGCCCTCCTGTGTACCCTGCTGGAATTCTGCTTGTGTGCAACAATTGTGCTGCCTACCGTAAGCTACTGGAAGCACAGACCCCCAGTGTTCGCAAGTGGGCCCTACGCCGACAGAATGAGCCATTGGAAGTACGGCTGCAGCGGCTGGAACGAGAGCGCACAGCCAAGAAAAGTCGGCGGGACAATGAGACTCCAGAGGAGCGGGAAGTAAGGCGCATGAGGGACCGTGAAGCCAAGCGCCTGCAGCGCATGCAGGAGACAGATGAGCAGCGGGCACGTCGGCTGCAGCGGGATCGGGAGGCTATGAGGCTGAAGCGGGCCAATGAAACCCCCGAGAAGAGGCAGGCCCGGCTCATCCGGGAGCGGGAAGCCAAGCGGCTCAAGAGGAGGCTGGAGAAAATGGACATGATGTTGCGAGCTCAGTTTGGTCAGGACCCTTCTGCCATGGCAGCCTTAGCAGCTGAAATGAACTTCTTCCAGCTACCTGTGAGTGGGGTGGAGTTGGACAGCCAGCTCCTGGGCAAGATGGCCTTTGAAGAGCAGAACAGTGGCTCTCTGCACTGAACCCGCCTGCCCTCCCACTCACCCAGGTCCACAGGGATCCATGCTACAGCCAACCCACAGGGCCTTGTCCTTATTGCTGGAGGCAGGCCTGGGTTTGTTGCAGGTGGACCTAAGCACCTCTTGCATGTGGGAGCAGGATGATGGGGTCAGCAGGGAGCCAGCTTAAGGCAGCTCTAGACAAGGGAGTAGGCACTCCAGAGAACTAGACTCCCAGCCCACTGCTGCAGGGCATGCTTATAGGACTATGGGGCCCAGTGTGGCTCACAGAGTTGTGAGGGCAAATAAATTAATTTTATCTTTACTGGTCTTTTTGTGCTTTCTCTCCGTTTCATTCTAGCAAATGAAGTGATCTAGGAAAGACATGGGTGGAAATTTTAGGCAGGGACTTCTGGCGGATTGTCTTCTGAAGGGAGGGTGCTCCTCAGTTTAGGTGACCCAGAGATCCCTTGTTTGGGCCTTTACAGGTTGATGAGGCATGACATTAAAGAAAGAACCAGTGCTGACTTTGTGGGTCCATTCCCACAACCCTAACGAAGATCATCTATGGTCCCAAAGGCCACTTAAACCTAGCTTACCTTCTCCAAATTCAGTAGACGCCTTTCCTCCTAACTGGCATTTTCTAAAGAGATGCAGTATTTAGGCTTAGGTATTGGCTACTTTTCCCAGCAGATTTTAGTTGCCAGACTTTAAAAATTCTATCCTAGACAGCAGTCACCTTCATTTAGGAATATGTTCATACAAATAGCTCTAATATTAAGGTCTATAGCACCAAGGAACTCTTGTTTGAAAGAAGAGATGATCCGTCTTATTTATGTCCCAGAGCCAAGGTAGGTTAACACCCATTGAGAAAAATCCAGAATTAAGGTGAGATGAGAGCTCAAGTTGACAGTGGTCAAAGCCAGAGCAAAATGACCAGTTTGTATGTCTGCCAAACCAAGGAGGAGACAAGAGCTGAGGTCATTTCTAAAAAGTGTCTGTGATGGTACAGAACAAGTACAGAACTTTCCTTAGCCTGCACCAAAGGTTGTGTACAGTTTAGATAATTATAGATCTTGAGGTCCAGAAGGAAGTGCCCTAGTTAAGTTGTAGCCAGAGAAATAACTATGCCAGGAATGTGGACCTCTTCCAATATCATAAGGAAACCTGGACTCCTCCCCGGCCTCCATAGGTTTAAGGCTATTTAATAGTGTTAACTGACCCCCTTCCCACCACCAAACTAGGGTTAATTCCTACCAGGCAGGCTGAAATATTTCTGTTCTGGGAATACAAAAATTTTAATAAGCTTATTCCAAAGTACTGGACATTTGAAGGAAGTACTTAATTGCGTCACATGTCTGTCTCTCACAGAGCTCCATACTGAAGTCCTACTTGAGATGCCTCAAAATTGTTGAGCACTATGTGTCAAAGATTATTCTGAGCACTTTACATGGATTATCTCATTTAATTTTCCCTAGCAAACTAGGAGTTAATACAAACTCAGGAGCCCAATGCCTAGATTTAAAATGCTGCACTGCCATTTAAAAACTAACTTTGGGCAAGTTACTTAACCTGTCTTGGTTTCCCCAAACACAATATGGAAATAATAGTATAAGCAACAAATGACTATTAATATATATATAATATATAAACATGTATTAATATAATTATTAATATATGTAACTTAGGATGGTTTGTGGCACCTAGTAAGTGCTCAATAAATGTATCTGAGTCACAGTCCTGTATCTGAGTGTTTCGCCTCTTACTACTGGCAAGCTTTCTAGTTTAGAAGCAGTAGCTATGATTGCAGCTGATGTATTCCAGCAATTTCTGGAAGCATTCCTGGGGAAAGAAAAGAATTGGAGAAAAGGCCAGCAGTGAAGACATCTACAAGTCCTTGTGATTGATTGTGCTAGTATCTAAGTCTACAGGTAGACCTCTGGGTCACTGAAATACATACCACCAGAATGTGCAGATCTGCCCAGAGCCCACCACATAAAGATGGGCACTATTAGCCATTACAAGCTCTCCCATGAAGGGCTTCTATCCCCCACCCAACAGCCACCATCTAAGGCTGGGATAAGAAGAAGGCGCAAACACCAAAAGGAAAAGCTAGTAGTTTATATAGATAGATATATAGATATATAGATATTGATATATATTGTGTTTACATAGTCCACAAGTTAAATGCAGGTATCCATAAGAAGAGCATTAACAATAAAAATACAATCTGTGTGTAGCCAAGTACAGAGACTTAAAATGGTAAAACAGCAAAAAGGATCTCACAAAAGTACAAATATACAGTACAAATTGATTTATTTAAAACAGTTACAAAAAAGCACAACAAAATAGAGATTATCCTTAGAATTATTAATGCTTTGTTAAAGATCAGGTAGGATTAGAGGGTAAGAAATGGTACTGGGTGGGGGGAGCACCTGACTAGTTCTAAGGCTTTAGATACAATGCAGTTGATTACATATTAATTCAGCCATTACATACTGGGGATAGTAGTTGGGGGATCAGTAATTTATCTACAGGGAACTCCTACACAAATCAGATCCATCCAGACCTCCCCAGTGCCGTCCTTCTTTACTCCTCAGGACCCTAAAGCCACCTGATGGCAACATTCCCACTTTTCTTTCTCCACCCCATTCCCTATCCATATATTCTTCCCTCCCCTAAGGTGCTGTGCAAGCTGAGAGCAGTCTGCTCTCTGCAGCTGGAACATATACTGTTTTGGCTACAGGGATCCTGTGTGTGACTAGGAAGGTTGTAGGGGACAGCCTTATTTTAATACTTCAAGTTTGCCACGGGTACAGTCTCTTCCCAGCACAATCTATATTCTCTCGAGTGTGAGTATCAAGCAAGTGAGGGATGAACCCTGCCTTCAGCAATACCAGCAATGCACTAACCACTCACAACTCACAACTACGTGCAAACTCCCTGTCCAGGGAGTGGGTGTAAAACCACGGTATCACCAGCTCACTCTCTGAAGAACCTCAGTCCCCGTGACAGTCATAAAGACAGAAATAAATGCTTGCAAGTTTGACAATAGGTAAAGGCACATGGGCTGCTGCCATACACATACTGTAGACAGGAACCCAATTTGAGGCCATCTTCACTGCTGGGCATTTGCAGTAGAATGGCTTTGGGATCACACAGACTTTGAGTTTGCAACCTACTGGGGGAGGATCTAGGCTTAACGGGAGAACTAATAAACCTTAGTGTGAAAAGTGCATTTATTACTACTGTTCCTGCTGGGGAGGCTCAGCAGGGCAAACCGCACCACCTCTCCTCCTTCCACCCCAGGCACTGTGCATAGTCTGCAGGTAAGGAGAGAGTGCAGTCAACTCTAGCATCTCGAGGGCCAGTGTCATCCTAGGCCCAGATCAGGCTTCCGGCCCAAAGATGGACCCTAGAGTTGAAAGAGCAACTGATGGCTGCAAAGACCCAGATGCTTATTTTATTATTGCATAATGTGGGAGGCCTTCTCTAGCCCAGGGAAGCTGGTCGGTGCAGGCTTCCCAGCAAAGGGCTAACAGGTTCCTGGTCAACATCCAACCTTGCACAGTCCAGCTCTTCAACTGTAGTGTACACTTTTTCCCATCTGGAAAGTATTGTAGCTTCAGTGTGGTTTAGTAAACTTAGCCCTAGGAGGCCAGGAAGTCTCCCTAAAACTTGGCCTCTACCCAATTTACTTTGCTCTTAAGACTGTGACCTAATCTCCATGGCCAATTTAGTTAATCAGGTATCTTTACTCCAAAGGATCCGGGCCCTTTCCCAGTCAGCCCATGTCCACCCTTCACCTCCAGTGTGATCATTCAACTCTCCGATGTGCATGCATGTTGCAGGTTTAAATCATACCACCACCCTGTTTATCTCCTATGATGTCCACTGGTAAAAATAAAACTAAACCCCACTGAGGGGCTATTTCGGTCAAACTTCAAACCCTCTTCAGTCCCAGAATCCACATAACTAGAGCTAGATGACCCTCCCTAGGATGCTGGCAAAGGCCCTAACCTGGTTCCCCATCATTTATTTTTTAAAAACAGGATATAAGATACCACAAAGGAAAGCAGTTAATACATAGAAAACGCCCACTAAGACCTGTTTGCTTCTCCCTCAAGACAGTCAGATATTTGGAGCCTAAGGGCTCCCAGCAAGCACTGAAGCCACATCCCTTTGGGTTCACCAGCCCACCAGCAGCATTTCATACTATCCCTATTCAACGTGACTTTGCTATAAAGTAAGAGTTGCACAGTAAGAATGGACAGGATGCCTGGATTTCCTCCATATGGTCAGACAGGGAAGGGCAGGGCGCTACAAAGGCAGCAGGCAGGACAGTGAGCAGACAGCAGCAGTGGCAAAGCAGCACAGAGCAAAGCCCTTGGTGTTATGACTGACTGGGACCAAGACTGCAGAAGGGTCAGTCCAGATCTGCTAGGGCCCCTCCCCTTGGATATACGTATTCAGCTCTGAATCCCCTTCCCCCATGCCACCACCCTCCATGCCCCCCCACCATGTACACCATATACATCTTGAGAGGAACGATGATCCAAGACTTGGATGTATTACCCATCCTTTACCTGATCACTCTACTCCCAAACTGGTGTAGGTATTCCTGGTTAGTGCCAGAGTTAGCAGTCCTCCTTTCTATTCCTAAACTCTGGGAATTTCCTACCACTGACAAGGGAGCGGCACTGGCCTTCTTCAATTGCCCATTTCCCAAAAAGCTGACAGCTTCCCACTAAAATGCTCACTATCTCAAAACCACTCTTCGGTCTCTTGCCAACTTAGGAAATTCCTTTAAGGAAGAACAGAACACCAGAGGCCCCTCTCATTTCTCATACCTGGAAGAAAAGACTGAACTGGAGGGAAAAGACAAGCAGAATGCCACAGCTCTGACCAAGACTGAGAGCACAGAGCTTCAGTTCCTGGGAGCCCATACTTTACAAAAGACACCTCTGCAGCTTCACAAACGGAGCATTCATATATTACGTACACATGGCATGGTACTAGAAGAGCTGCGGCTATTCCTTCACGGGCAAGAGACAGAAGAGGAATAGCAGCAGCAAAGTCAGGGCCCAACCTGCCAACGTGCACATGATGTTCTCTTTCCAGGATTAAGTGGAAATTACCAGGCTGGGAAGTGGAGGGTCACTTGGTTTCAACTACTGTACCTGGTTGGACAGAAGTTTGCTCCCAGCAGGAGGAAGCTTAACTGGTGTCCTTGGTGGACACTTCTTGAGTGTCTACTGTGTGCATGCCACTGTCTTCAGTTGGTGAGCCTTCCTATGAGGAAGGAGGTTTCTGAGAAACCCGTGCAAACAATAATCCCTAGGAATGAGCTGATCACAGAACAGCCAGAGATGAGGCCTTCTCCCAGGGCTGTCATCGGAGAGGGTTCCTCAAGACTTAGCCCCATCACCCCCCTCTGTAGGAAACAAGCCAGAGAAAGCAGCATTCAGAGAAAATGGGGGACAGAGAAGGGAAAGGTGAGGATCCCAAACGCATCCAAGGTTGAGTGTTCACCAGAGTTGGTGTTTGGTTCCGAGGTGACCCGGAGACTTAAGTACTCACAGTCAGGTCAGTAGCTTCCTTTGGATGGGCCTCTAAAACCTGACTGACTGCTCTCTAGGAATGAAACAGTGGCGTGTAGGGCTTGTAGCAAACAAGCCGGTCTCAGTCACTTTGTTCCCCCAGGAGAACAACCTTTAGCACCTGAACACTAAGAATGACTCCATTCTCAGAACTCCCCCTCCCCCCAGGAGGTAGGTAAGATTATTTATCCCCATTTGGCAGCTGGGGAGGAAGTGAAAGAGCGAGAGGTCACAAGACTTGCCTGAAGTCCTCGACAGAGCAGAGATCAGACCTCAGAGGTTTGGGACTCCTGATGACAGGCAAGGCCTCGGCCAGTCCAGGTGCATTTCTAAACGAAATGCCAGGATCATACACTGGGAGAAGCCTCATCAGAGAGCTGAGTGGACAATACCCTGAGTTGCTTCAAGAGTCTGAAGACCCCTGAAAAACACACAAAAAACCCACCCACCCACCTGAAAGCTGGTGGGGGAGCCTAATTCTCAATACCCAGTGGAAACCCACAGTCCAAGCTGATGCTAAAAGTTGTGAAAACGTGAGCTTAAGACACAAGGAGGGGCAAATGCAACTAAGATTGAGAATGCTCTTTGCAGAGGAACACTCCACCACAAAATGAGATCTAGGAGACTTCAGGGACTGGAAACTTATCAAGACTATCCCAGAACCTTAGAGTGGGCTATGGGAGGGGATGGCTGGGAGAAGCCTGAATGCTGACCGGAAGTGGAATAAGATGGGAGGGGCTGTGTAAAACACCAGGACGGGCACTGCCCAGCCAGGTGTATTTGCCCTGACCCAGGGCACAGTTCCCTTCTTGCTTCTCTACCAAGCTCTTCAGCTGCAGAAGAGGAGAGGACATGATTCTTTATGAGTTTTGAAAAACAGAGAATATAACTGATAAGAGGAAATCAGAGAGATCCCTCCACACCAAAAACTAGAGGTCTTGGTCAGAGTGGACAAAAACAATTTTGCAGAAGGGGAAAGACAGTGCAGCTACAAATCAGGCCCAGGTCAAGACACCATGCTGAGGACAGGGCAGAAGGGTGGGGGCAGCGCAGGCACTTAGGCACAACATAGACAGAGGAGGAGAGTAGGGGACTGGGGACAAAGGTCCACTGGTTCTTTCAAAAGTCACCATTACCAACTAGAAATTCGGTACGATTTCGAAGTATGTCTGGCATGCTGGGTATAAGGAGCTCTGTTAAGTCAGCGACCTTTCCAGAAGCCCTGCCTAGAGACCAGTCACCTGGCCATCAGGTCTTTCTCCCAAAGTCCCCTGACTGGGTCCCGCCAACGCAGTACTTCACTCTGAACCCTGGAGGGGCTTCTCTTTCTCCCAGTGCTAGAAGCCTTGTGGGAGGAATGGTGGGGAGATGGGAAAGGGCTGAAGCACAGGATCAAGCAGAGTCCTGTAGATGAGTGCTCCTCCCCCACAAACCCACAGACATCTGTAACAAAATCACCCTTTAAAGTGCACAGCTCTCAAACGAAGAGTTCTGGGTGGGAACCCTCTTAATTCCGATCATGGGGCTTCCTGCCCTCCCACCACAAAAAAGAAAGGAAAAAAACTTCAGACAGTTGAACTGCTACTATAAGCTGTGGATCATCATTTTTGGCTCTTTCTTTGCTCCCTCCCTCTGCCACCTGCCCCCAAAGCCCGACTTTCCCCTTGCAGGAGCTAGGGATGGGGAGGAAAGAACAGGGAGGCCCTGATATTTGGAATGTTTCTTATCCTGTGTGCACCCCCATCCTTCCTTGGCTCAGGCCTGCTGCTCCCCATCACAGCACCCTCTGGGGCTGTCCTGAAAGGATGCCATGGGGTAATGAGCAACAGACCCTGCCTTGGGAGGCTGCCTTTATGCCTCCTCTTTCCCCCCAATCTCACTGCCAAGAGAGCCATTCCCTGCTCGGCATGTGCAAATCCTCTGCCTGCTCACGGTGAGGCCCAGCTCTGGGGTAAAGCCCCAGTCCTGGTCTGGGAGAGAGGTTCATTTTCCTGCATTGGAACGCCCTTCGATGGACAGTTTTACCTCCTGCGGAATGAAAGAGGGACGGAGCAGTGCAGCCCGTGCCTCCTCCCCTTGCATGCTGTATCTTTGGAAGCTTGGGGCTGGCCAGCAGGCCTGAGCACCAGGCTCCGGCTGCGAGGGCTCTACCATTTGGGAGCCCTCACCTGACGGCTGGCTCTTCCCCTCACTGTCACATTGCTCTCTGGGTCCCAAGACTGTCCTCTCAGGCCTTTCTCGGGGGGGACCCAGCTGGCCTGGGGGAGCACAGCTAGCCTGAGAAACTGAGTTACTGTTCAAGCTCTGTAAACTGATAGAGATGCAGACATCTCCCACCTGCAGCCGATGGCAGGGCAAAGAGAAGAGCTGTGCAGTCCGCCCAGGGCTGCAGGAGGACCAGCCCTGGCCATACACAAAGAAGGGGTGCTCGGGGGGCACCTCGATGCTCACTTTGCTCTGCTGCTCACCAACCACAAAATGCAGCATGACAAATCCAGGCCACTGGCTCTCCTGAATGTCCACGACCGTGCTAGAGTCAATCTTCAGCCCCCCGCTCACTTCGGCACTGCGCACAAAGTCCTGGGTCTGGAGGTCCTCCACCCGCTTCAGCTCCCCTGTAGCCAGCTGGATGATGGCGCCTTTCATGAAATGGGAGGGCAAGTGGGAGGAGGTAATGGGGGGTGGCGTTGGCTCCTTATCTGGGAAGGTGGCTCTGGCCTGCATGTCCAAACTTGATGCCACCAGGATCTCCGAGCCCACGGACAGCAGACCTGGGTCAGTTCCAGTGGGCACCAGGTTGCCATTAGCTACAACCATTGCTTTGGGTAAAGGTCTATGTTTCACCAGTTCCTGATGGGATTGAGGGTAGAACCCTCGGGCCTGATTTTTCTCGGCCATCTCTGCTGGGTTCCTGGCTGACCCTCGCCCCTCACCCTGATGGTCAGGGGTATGATGCGACAGGTTGAGGGGGCTGGGCTCATCCTTCCTCTGAGCTGTCACCACACGATAGTCCTGAGAAGCTAAAGCGCCAACCACCCGCTGGACCTCAAGGTCGGTGTCTGGGGTCCCTCGGTGTGCCGGCACTGCCACCTCTACCCGTGCAGTCTGAGAACCTGAAAACAACTGTCCATCCACCACACATTCTATCACTGGCACCAGTCCCTGGCCTTCACTCTTGCTGTTGGGGGAGTCGAGGGCTTCGCTTTCCCGTCTTACTAAATTTCGTTCTCGCTGTCTCTGTCCGTTGGCAGCGGCTGCTTCCAGAGCAGACTGGCCCTCCTGAGGGGTAAGAATAGGGCTGGCACCTGCTGGAGGGGTTTCATGCAGAGTGTACCCAGCAGGTAGCCTGGACATCTGATAATAAATGGGCATCCGGCCTGGAGCAAGGTCCAGTGGCTGAGTACTCGAGTGATGTGGCAACTGCCCAGGTGGGGAGGTGGCAGAAGGGGCTTTGTTGAATGAGTGGGCTGGGGATGAAGCCTGGGGAGGGGGAGTGGCTCCTTCTGCCAGGAGTGAGGCATATGGCACAAAGTGTGGAAGGTGAGAGGTGGTGAGGTTGGCAGAAGGAGAAAGGAGGGGACTTGGTAGGAAATTAGGTGGCACAGCATAGGGAAGGCTATAAGGAGACCCGATAAACTGCAGAGAGGTGGACGGGAGTTGAGCATAGTGGATTGGGGGATAGTGGATTCCTGGATGTTGAATCAGTGAAGACGCTACATTAAATGTGGGGGGCAAGGGGCTCATGTTCACCACAGACGGGAGGCCAGTTGGGGAGAAGGTAGCAGGTGGCACAGCCACCTTATACAGCATACCATACTGGTCCACCGTCAGACCAGTGATGGCCTCAGCTCCATCACCCCCCAGGCTGACTCTGGCTCCTGCCTGGCTCTGCCCAGCCACCACAACCCCCCGGGACCATTCAGAGGCATCACTGGAGGGTGTGTGGTTAGTTGAGCAGCTGGTAGTTCTCCCCATATCCTCGCTGGTCACGGGGAGGTCTCGTTTCTTTGGTGGAAGGCATTCCTGACTCCTCTCATGAACAGGTTTCATATTGCTTTGTGGTGTTCCTGGAGCCTGGAAGGGGTCGGCTTGCTCCTTGGGACATCAGAAGGGGCTTCTCTGTGGCTCCCCTGCACCCCTCTCTGCTGCTGGCGGGGGCGCCCACATCTGCTAGGGAACAAATCAGAAGCAAAGAAAAGTAACCTAGGGGCAAACCAAGTCAAAGGAAGTAGCAGAAACTGTGCCCATGGAGGAAGATGCAACAAAGGGGACTGCTGGGGGAAAAAGGCATGAGAAAGGGGCAAACAAGGATGCTACCCTCCCCTCATTCATCCAGCCCAGGACATGAAAGAAACAGGGAAACCAAAGAGAGCTACAAACATTCACCGACGCATAAACAACCTGCGGGCTCTACAACCCCAGAGAGACCAACAGCTTCATGATCAGGCGTGCCTCTGATGGGGACCTTGACTCCTCCCAGCCTTCTCCCCTAAAAGATCTGGCCACATGGTTGTTGCTGCTGGTTCTTTTTCCTAAGCCTCTCCTTTTGTCACCAAAGATTACCGTGCTATCTTCTTTCCAACATATGACCTCATCCTTGCTTCCTTTCCCCAGCCCAATTCGGGTTATGATCTCACCTTTCCCCATCCCCCCACCCCAGGCCTGGTTAAACTCTCATCCTCCTTTGCCTCGTATCACCACTACCTCAAAGACCCGGGTGCCACTGAAAAATAGCATCTTCTTTGCCCCATGAGATACTACATTCAAACTTGGGCCCTATGGGGAAAGTGATTGTACTAGTGTGTTCTATAATGTATTTGTTTCTCCTCTTCCCTAAAGAGCAAAAAAAACTCTTCTGACCACACACAGACGTCCCCCACTAGTCTGGAAAGACTTCTTTTCTTCTCATTAACCATCTTCAACCATTCTCTTTCTTTTGCCAATGGTTCCTTTTCCACTGTAGGTCTGCTCTAGGCACCACTTCCTAAATTCTGGTTCCATTCCTCCAAACCTGTCTGGGTCTCTATGATTCATAAGAAAGTTCTCTCCCTCCTTTCTCTTGCTGTCACCTCTCATACATGCTTCTGTCCATTGTCATAAAGCGCCCTTTTCATCTGAACATTGCAATGCATGAACCTTGTCACCTATTTCTTCCAATCAAGGCTCCAGTTCTTTGGATCTGGATATTAGACCGTTCTGTTTTTCCACTTTTGAATCCCAGATGGTTTTTTGGCAACAAGGTATCCAAATTTCCCTTTATTACCTGAGCTTCCAGTAGTGCCTCTGAGCAGCTGTAGTAAGAAGCAGTGTCCTCCCCACTGCCTTGGGAGCCTAGAAGACAGAAATAGGAATAAAGTAAGCAGGAGTCTAGCCTCTCACTTCCCCAGGGTCATCAAGGTAATTCTAAAGCCACAAAAACATTAAAGTCCATGAGTCCCTGCCTCATGTTCTGCTCCAGAGGTACCAGCACATTTATCGAGTTTTTGGCATTTGAATAGAGAAAAAGCTATCTCTTAAGCTCTAATTTGTAGAAAGACATCCCTGAAAAAAATTTTCAATGTGTGTCAAATTGCATTGTTTTCCTTAACATCATATTCTTCATTCTCTACCTGTACTTATTCCCCAAAGGTTAAATTTACTTCCAATCCCAATTTCAGGTAAATGTGCAACTAAAAATGGAAGATTCAACATTATTCCCATGTGAACAATGGGAAGCTGGAAAAATCAACTACATGGATTTCACCTTTATTCAGGGCTGATGAAAACACAGATATGGAGGTTATTTAAATGAGAAAAGTGGCACTAGAGGAAAAAGAACAATTATTTATGTTTCTGGGGCAGAAAAAGAGGTCAAGGGGGAGTCACTCAAGCGGAAGCCTTATTAACAGATTTTCAGGGTAAAAAAAATAGGATCCTGTGTGTGAGTGTAAAATTTTCTGAGTGACAACTTCGTACCAAGTATTGAATCAGGTGTGACAGAAAATGAAAATACTGCCTGGGTCCTCATGTAGCTATTAACAATGGGGAAACAAAGCTCACACTAAATTATCAATATCTGAATCTACACATGCCAGGAACATCAAACACTGAAGAATGGAGCCTTAATCTCTGACAACAGATAAAGCAGTACTAACCAGTACTCTGAGAAACTATCCACTTTCCTGTCCAAGTCCTACAGAACTGCAAGCCTCTAACCAAACTGAAGCAACATTTATCTCTTAAGATTGGCAAGGTGTGTATGTACAAGAAAAGGCGATGAGACAGGAAAACAAGGGGGAAAGAAAAATTCTCAGTTCCATAAACACAAATTACACAGTGGGCACGAGTCTTGCATCCCTTCTTCGCCAGCAGTTCCAGTAACTGAAAGGCAATTAGCTTTCTCCCTCGTTTGCAACAGGAATTGGGGTCATATCTCCAATCCCTGAATGATCTTTGCTTCCTGCAACTAAAACCTTAAGGAAAACCGGCCTCTAGGTTAGCCAAACACAGTCGAATAAAAGAAATAAAAGAGGCAAGAGGTCTGGGGGAATGACAACAAAGAGCCAAGCCTGTCCACCAGGGTCCAACAACGCAAAACACATTTCGGAATCTGAAACCTCGGCCTCAAGAGGGGCTCGATGAGGACTTCTCAGAGGGAAGATGCAGCTCGTGACCCTAACCGAGCTAACAGGGAAGGGGGTCTGTTCCGGTGAGCTGCCAACGCTGCTAGTCACAGCCCAGAATCAAGAGATTGAACCCAAAATTCGGTGAGGGCGAGAGGTACGCCCGCCAGAAAAGAGTGGAGCTTGGAAGAGACTACGGGTTATGGCTTCCCGTGATCCTGCAATCCTTGCTTCAACAAAGGTAGGGCCCGAAATTGGGAATTTAACGTTTAGAGGTGGGGAGTCGATCCCTGAAGCAGAGGGACAGGGACAAGGCCCCGCAGGCGATGCTTCCTTGTTTGGGGGCCCCTTTCCGCCCCGAAGACTCGGACACCCCGGCCCGCCAGGACACAGCCGCGGGGGCGCCGGGGCCTGAGGCCGCCTTCTGGGCCGGGCCGGAGAAAAGCGCGCGGGACTCTAGGCGCGGCCTCTTTCGCTCTCCCCGTCCGCGGTTCTCGGGCCCCGGTCCGGCGGGGCAATGGGCTCCAGGGGGCCACTTCCTCCTAAGCTGCGAGCCCAGGCCCGCTTGGCCTTAGTGAGGCCGGCCCAGCGGCCCGCACTCCCGGCGACACTCACCGGCCCATCTCACGGCGCTCCTCGGGCTCCTCCCGCTCGTCCCGGAGCCGCCGCGACCGCGGCCGCCGCCATCCCCGGCCCCGGAGCCGCCCCACACCCAGCGCCCCCCCCACGCCGGGCGCCCGGAGATGGCGTCAAGTGCGTTCCGCCCCCGTCGCGGGCAGATGGCGTCACCTCCCAGGCCCAAGAGCGACGCCCAGAAGTACCCGGGAAGGGAGGGAGGCGGCCCCTAGCCCCTAGCCCCTCGGCCCCAGCGCCCCCTGTGGTGGGAAAACGAACTCCTCCCCGGGGGAAACAGGGTCACGTGAAGAAGGTTGGCCGGCCCTCTCGCCCTGACCCCACCATGACCCCTGCAATCTCTCTACTCCAATAAATTCTGGGGGTTCCCAAACAGAGCCCTGGGGCGTGGCCAACAGCGACCCTCATTTCCTGGACTTCCGGGGCCTGACAGGTGAAGCCTCCTCTTGGGAACCTCGGAACCCCCGAGGCGACCCCTGTCCAGGAAAGTAAGAAGATACCCCTGGAGACCCAGGGTGGAGCTGGGGGAGCTCTTTGAGTTGAGAAATGACTTTGACGGGGATGAGAATGGACACGATCCACGATCTAGGGGAAGGTGAAGCGAGTAGTGGGAACTTGAGGGATGAGAGGAAAGGGTTCAGTACAGTGGGAAGAGCTTAGTTTAGTGGGAAGAGGACTTCACTATTCGATCAAATATTAGGTCACCATTCATTGCCAATTAACTAGTCAACTTCATAGTAGCATGAACATCTGATTAACCATAAGTGAAAAAGTGAACACCAGTCGAATTTGTGGTTTGATTACAACTATGTAAAAAAAAGGAGTTCTGCATACAGTCAGAAACAAGCTAAACTGAGGGAAAAAATACGTTTAACTATTAGAGAGATTGGATCTGAGTGGATTTTTCCCCTTTCACTTTCTGCAAACTCTGTTCACTAAATAACAATTGATTTTTGTTTGATTTTAAAAATACTGGCTGGGCTCTGGTCCCTACTCTGGCCTTAGAAAAATCATTTTACTACTTTAGACTTAGGTTTCCACTTCTGCAAAATGAGGAACTTAAATTAGATGAAGGGGTGGGAGTAAAACGTAGATTAAAGAGCTCTCTATAAACATTTTAAGTGAAAATTAAGCAAATATGTACAGTGTGATATCATGTATTAATGTGAAAATCATATGTAACATATAAAGACATTTATGTATCAGTACAGAAAAGGAATGGAAGGCTATTTAACAACTGGTTAACGCTGGTTATCTCGGGAGAGGAAAGTGGCATTGGGTGGTGACCAAAAGATACAAAAGGGACTTCTTGTTTGGATTTCTTTTTTTTTTTTAAAGATTTTATTTATTCATTTGAGACACAGAGATAGAGAGAGCATAAGCAGGGAGAGAGGCAGAGGGAGAAGCAGGCTCCCCACTGAGCCAGGAGCCCGACGTGGGGCTCGATCCCAGCACCCTGGGATCATGACCTGAGCTGAAGGCAGACGCTTAACCATCTTATGAAATATTATCTTAGAAATATTAAGATGAGCAAGTTAAAATACAAATAAAGTATATGGTCTCTAAGATTCTTTCTAGGGAATCAGTAGACCTCAATTTTGGTATTTTCTCACCTGGATGGGCAAAAAGGATCATTAAAATCATTGAATGCCACCACACACACACCTTGCACCAGTGTGTGAAACAGTGAAGCTACTGATCTGTAGCCATCTAAATCAGCAGAGGGCTGTGCTTCGAGGATATTAGTATTATTCATGACAGTCGTCTTCGCTCTCAGTTTGGCCAAGGAGGAAGTTCTGTGGTCACACAGTGATTCTGTTTTAGCACTAACTGGCTTTCTGACTTCTAATCCATTGCTTAGCTCACTAAATTGGCATTAAAACTATCAAGATTAAAAAAAAAAAACTGCCAAGATAGATAAGCCTATAGTATTTATTTATTTATTTTTAAAGATTTATTCATTTATTTGACAGAGAGATAGAGAGCACAAGCAGGAGGAGCAGGAAAGGAAGAAGCAGGCTCCCCGCTGAGCAGGGAGCCCGATGCCAGACTCAATCCCAGGACCCTGGGATCATAAGGTAGATGCTTCAACGACTGAGCCACCCAGGCACCCCTGTACTCTTTCTTTAAATCAAAATGTTATAAATACTGCTGTCTTTGCCAATTTTTTCCAAATCAATAAATTAAAAAAAAAAAAACCACCTCTGCCAAGATAGAGACCCTTGGATCATCCAGGATACCCATTGCCTCCTAGACTAAGATACGCTCTCAGAGAGCTGGTGTTTCAGATAAAACTGAGAGAGCAGACACAGGTAGATGCAAGCAAAAAGAATTTTTTGGCTACCAGCCATTAACATGATTACATAGTGCAAAGGCGTGTCTGATTTAAAAACAAAAAAACAGGATGTTCTGATTGGTGAGACACAGGTGATTTCCTGGTTTGGTAGGAACCAAAACCAGATTCTCTTTTCGGCAGTCCCAAAAGAGTGGGTCATATCTCTGCTGTATTCTCTTCTAGAACTCTACTCCAAGCAATCTTCATTTCTTTGATTGTACATATTGACGTAGGAAGCTCCATAGTGACAGTTTGAAAGGAGTATTAGTAATAAGTAACATAGCTTTTAGATTTAAGACACTAAAATAACTAAAAGTTACCTCATTTCTCCAAAAATCTGTATTATTCTCTGGAACCTGGATAATTCCCTATGTAAGTTATTTATAATAACTAAACCCAGGATCGTATTCATTGTAACTGGCTCAATAAATAGTTGTTGAATGAAATTTCACAAAGATATCTCAAACTGGGAGGCTCTCCTTGCTAATTTTTTTGCTCCCATTTCCTTATTTCTATTCTTATCTAGTTTTGCCTGTTTGTTACCTTTTTCAGTCTCTCTCATCTGAAAATTCCTTCATTTTCTTTCACCAGATTTGTTTGTTTAATTTCCATGGAGTTTTAAGAACTGATAAAGTGAAAGATTTCTTTCATTTAAAAAAAAATTTCCCTGCCCCACAAAAGAAGATTTTTAAAGGTATTTGAGACATTTTGGAACTGAAAAGTTATACTTCCATCTGTTTTGTCTACCTCTTCTCTTTTGTTGGATTCCCACTGAATTCCTTTGATGTGTGTAGATTGAATTTGTGTGATGGGAGAGTTTGAGCTACTCTGTTGAGAGGAAAATAACAATGACCACAAAACCCTGCTGAGCTGGTTCTTCTTCTCCCTAATCAGGCACGAGTTTCAAACCAGCTTTCTGTGTTGCCTAGTTCCTCATTGGTGATTTTTCTAGACCTGTCGTACAGGCAGGGGACGTTCCGACAACTATCCCAACTCTTTTTTGACGTTAAGGGATCAAACCAGAGAGAAGTGCTGGTAATTTGGGGAACGATGTGTGTCATAACAAGAGGAATAGGTGGTCTTTTTTCATACTGTCATGTCTTTTTGCTTGCATTGCTCAGCATGTAAAGGTGTCATTGTAGGGGAGAATATCTTTGTATGCCAATGGCAGAAGCAACAATCTCAAGTATAGGTTGAAATTCTAGGAATACTTGGCAGATTTAGCTTTCCCAAGACATGCGTTGGTGCCTGGTATTAGATTATTTTTCAAAAGCTTTTCTAGATGTCCAAATGTAGAAATGTGCAGTTTTCAAGCTTCTGTTCTATCTGCTTTTCTGAACAATTCTGTGTCCTTATTTCCACCTGCTTTTAATGTTCTGTGCCCTCTCCAAAGTCCAGTGGGGATCTCCCTTTCAAATTCATTAATATTTATTTACAAGGAGGTCTTGGAATTTCTCCATAAGTGACTAATACATCCTTTGGGGATGGGAATCTCCATCTGTTGTCTGCTTCCTCAGACACTTGCCAAAGGCTTTCATTTTTATCAGAAACTTCCTGCAGAACTCTGAAAAGTTGGAGTCAGAACACTGACGATTGGAATAAACTGAAGGAAACCTAACCCTTATTTGAATTGGAAGAGTCCTATCTGGGGAATTGGGCCACAGAGAAGGAAATACATTTAGGCCATTGCTGAGCAGCCAGGAATTCCTTACTGGGGCCTAGTGAATGAATAAAGTAGATGTGGCTAAATTAATGCCCCCATGACATTGATAACTCTTGCTCTGCGAAACTGGCTCAGCAAGGTGATTTGCAAGCTGCTGTGCCTTGTGGTGAAATCATGTTCATCTCTGCCTTCCAAGCCGATCGTCTTCAGGTCAACCTGCAACTGGTTGTCAATCGCCTAAAACTCCTGGAAAAAAGGAAAAGTGAGTAAACACTCCAGACAGCACAATAAGCTGCCTCTCATCACTGAGCACTACCCTCCCCCACCCCAGAGATCTCCTAAGACGTTACTTAGCAATTTTGGAGTTCAAAGGAATGTGCCTGACTTGTGGGAATGATGATTATAGTGATCAAATCACTTAAAAGTTTGCAAAGACTGTTCTGTATCTTGATGGTATCAATATCAGTATTTTGATTTTGTAAGATGTGATCCCTGCATGAAACTAAGTAAAGGGAACCCTGGATCTTTCTGTATTACTTCTCACAAACTGCACGTGAATCTATGATGATCTCAAAATAAAAAGTTTAATTTAAAAAAAAAAGTTTCCAAAGACTTAAAATATAAAACAATGTCCAGATTACTGGACTCTTCTTCACCAAATCAGAGAACTTTATCTAGTCAGGCCTTTTCAAATGGGCAGTTGCTATTAAATTTGAGCTGCTGGGCAAATTTTTCTGGAAGGGCTTCCTTATGTGTTTTTGAACACACCAAAAAAAAAAAAAAAAAAGCTATTTCTTCTATCAGGTGACAACTCAAGTAGTGAGTGTTATACCCATGAGCTAGGGTAGTAGCTGACAAGTATTGTCTTCTTTCTTTAAATCCAACCTATTTTCTGTTGCCTCTTGCTCTTTCCTCATTTCAATGGGTCACATGAGCCATTAACCCCTCAAAAAACTGAAAAACCGATGATCTCTGATTATGAGGGGGGTTCAGGTAAAATAAGTATTGCTTGTGTGTGCAGTTTTCTGAGTGCCCCATAAACAGCACTATTTACTCTTGAATTACTGTGATCTGT